GGGCTCGTTTCACGTAAGAATTTTAGAAACATTCACGACGCACCTAATACACTTCAAACAGCATTTCAGGCGTCCCAAATTTTAAAGGGAAACCATCAGATTTTCCCTCTCGTGTGAAAGTTTTCCGGGAAATCTTGAGGTTTTCACTTGTGTAAGAAAAAAGTCACGTCACGTATACTTCAGGAGGAAAATCACGCCCCACGCTGGTTCCTAGATTCACCTACGAATCACGTTCGCCTCTCACAGCACAAGCGTCAGATAATAATTTTGCCCCTAATCATTCTTCAGGTTAAAAAAATCCTTTGCCACCTTCTAATTAGTTTTAACAGCTAGATACTTTTTAGATTATGGTTCAGGGTATGTCTCCTCCTTTCCTCAGTAAAGTTCAAGTCATATTTAATTTTATTAAATGGTGCCAAGTTGGGTCTGGGGTTCGTGTGAGTCATGAAAATCCTAGAAAATCATAGGATTTTACCTCTCACGGGCAGGAAGATCTTGATTCATTAATTTGAAAAAATTTTCCCTCTTAAACGGACCTGTGGTCTTTCGATTTATGGTGCTGGTAGGTAAATGAAAGGGCCATCGAACCATTTCTAAAGAAATGCCACAAAAGACGCCATATTTTCCATGAACTAAGTCTACCAGAAAAAATCGATAGAAAGCTTCTGCTCTCAAGCGAGACTTTAGAAGGCGAACTACACTATTACACTCCTTACAGTCAATTGTCGGAGACAAATCTCACCGCTCCCCGTGATAAAATACTTTAACTTTCTTTAGTGTTACAGACCGCCTAACAATACACCGAATCTAGATATGGCGAATGGCGCGGAGAGATTGGGCCTTGCGTCACGTAAACGAGGCTGGTCAGTCGTCAGCATTGCAAACACATATGTTTATATCCGTTGAATTAGTTTTTATCAGAAGCTTTTGATTAATTTATATCGAGATTGTACCTCGTTCAAACTATGCCTTCGCACTGCTGCGTTGTAGGTTGCACTCTGAGGTTATAAGTCGGGAAAAGGCGAAAAAGTTTTGTTTTTCAACTTCCCAAAGGAGCGTTCAAGGAGAAAGCAATGGATCCACGCCATTCGACGCGACGAAAGGAGGGATTTCCAAATAACTGACAAAACTAAAATTTTCTGGCTACATTTTAAGCCCTCTGATCTTAGAAAAACATTAACTGGACTTTTATGTTACGGGGTAGGTCGTTTTTGCTACAGCTATGGTAGCAAAGTGCTTTAAAATAAAATATATTTGAGTCACTAGCAGTTTCAATGTCTTTCACATAGCGATCTTTTTCGAATATCGTCGCTTTCCTGATACATGTCGGCACAGAATGATTTTTACTTGAGTCAAGATTCTTCTCTGTCTTGGAAATATGCAAATTCATTGCAGCTCGTGTGAAAAACGGCATCCTTTGAAGACTTTTACCCCATCCATCTTTAGGATACAAGGGTGTAAGAGAGCAATCGGACTTGTCACTTGGATTGTTGTGCGCTGTCTTTAATCGTTTACGTTTTGTGTATATCTTGTCGTCTTCTGGGTCGATCACATTTTTATCTCTGCCGGATTTAGTGTACTCTTCGTCTCTGGAAAAAAAAGTTCCCTTATATAAATCTAAAGCAGCAAAACAATATATAACATTGCACATTTGAAAATACTGCTGATTTCTAACTGACAAACTCGTATTAAGAGAAGATTGACAATGTTGAATGTTTTGACAGTTCAAAAGAGGAATGGAAACGACCATACCAGTGACAAAGATCGTCCTGAAAGATAAAGACCAGCGTTTTCCAAGTCTTCTACTCGTCTCTAGAGTCCCCCAGTGGACTAAGCAAACGAACGGGCGTATGGAAAAATGGGAACCATCATCACTTCCGCTTTCGATCATTTTCCCGAGCGAGGTTTGAGCAGAATCTGCCCACGGAAATCAAGAAATTCTGTGAAATATGACAGATATACAGCCCATCTCAGCCGCCGAACAGAAGTCTTTCTGAGTGAAACTGATGAAGCGCCTCAACGTTCAGCGAAAAACGATTGTTTGTGCGACATTACCACTCGTGGAGAACAAATGGGAGGAAATCGTAGACATGCTTGAAGGAAGAAGGAATGCTTTTGGAGTGGCCTCCACAGGATACATCCTCGTCGCAAGAGGAATAAGCAGAACAGAGAAATGATTAACAACTTGTGAGATATACAATACGTCAACAAATGAGTAGCAACGTGTTGCACACTTGAATGTTCCACGTTATTATGGTAGTATGGTTTGTCTGAATGGAAAGCTGTACGTGCTGGGTGGAAGAAATCAGAAGGGCCAAAGCGAACTAAGTTTTGAGTGTTTTGACGATGCAAACGGCCGATGGATCTACAAAAAAACCTTGCCAAAAAAACCTTTTAAGTACTTGTTTTGCACATTCCTGTATAAATAAATTTTATTGCGGCTACAAGTCTGTCTCGTTGTTCAAATAACAACATCAGAACCTGCCTCGGTCACATTTAGTCGGGGGCTCTTCCAACTTGCAAACTTTTAAAGAGCCCCTGATCAAATGAGAAAATATGTGGATTGAAAAAGACACTTCTAGTCATTTTAGCTCTGGGGAATGTTAATTCCACTATAAAGTTATTTGTTGCAGGTCTAGAAAGCAGATCAGGTCTGATATCCCAGATACCAGCGTAATTTTTATTGACTAACTTTAATCTAATGTGAAAGCAAATGCTGTAAAGATTAGTTTATTTGATGAAAATAACTTCAAAATAGATGGGAAATGGCAATTTGTAAAATGAATTCACAATTATTTGTAAATTATAGTGCCAACCTTCCTAGCACACAGGTTTCTACTTTGTCAAAAAACCATAACTTAAATCTTCCACCCCCCTCCCCCCCCCAGCTTGAGTCCAATTTCAGTGGCTTCAATGCACTGAACAATTGATTCTTAGAATCTGGTGCAAAATAAATTCAGAGAAATGTTCCATACTATCACATGCTTGAACATGCTCATACACTTTAAAATTCCACACACCTGACTGATCATTACTCAGTTGTTTCCTATGACAGTATATGACCAAGATCTATATATTCATTAGAGTAAGTAATGTGTAAATGGGAAATCCAAAGGTGGCTTCTTCTGGCCCAGCCCCCCTCAACCAGCTCAGCCCTCCCACATCAGCTTGTCATGATTAAGACAAAGTGTAACTCACCGGGCAAAATTTTTGTTAAATTTGAATAACTGACACTGATGACTAAAACCCCCTAAAAAATCCAAGAGTTGTGAAGTAAAGCGAAGCTTGAGTGATGATCAAGAAATTGAAAAATAAAATTCACATTTATCCAAAAGTGAGCTTGCAAACGTGATGGCTTTTTTCCATCAAAACTGGTTTTGTGGTCTGTGTGTTTATATTACATAAAATAACGATACTACATACTACAACACTATCACAATGCTACACTAAAACAACTATTAAAAAAAAATCGGAATTAACAAAGAACCTATACTGCTATAATCTCTCTCATATCGCTGGATCTATTTTTGTAGAGATGCATGCACCAGACTTGTGTGCAATGTGTAATTAAACCAATAAATTGCTGGTACAGTAAAACAGTGGACAAGAAGAGCCACCCAGTGGATGTCCATTGCTAAATTATTATTATAATTATTATTAAACAGCGAAGGGTATTTTTAATCAGTCAATATTTCGAATTGTACCTCATGTAAATCGTCCAGGGCAGCACTAAATTATATCCGGTTGAAATATTCATTATGTCTTCGACCAAATGCTCCGTCTCCTTGCAGTTTACTTGGTGTACTATAAACGTTTGGGGAAAGAGGCATAGGCTTAGCTTTTCAGAAATCTCTATCGGGAAACTATTTCTGTTGGAATTTTTTAAGAATCACCAAGCCTCACTTCCTGTGAACTACGTCCAACATCTTGTTTCCTTGAACTCGTCTCCAGAGTCACTGGAGCGATTCTTGGGCGAAGACGAAGAGGGGTATGGGAACGAGGTAGGAACTTCCGCTTGCTTTTTATTCCACATCACTAGAACTGTTCATCACTAGGAGATATTTGGAGGGATCTGTTCAATAAAAATGGAAGAATTACCGCTATTCTCAGCCGTTAAGCAAACTTCTTTCTGTGAGGAATTGATGAAGTGCCTCAATGTACAGCGAAAACAAAA